GTCTTCATATCTAGAGGTTGTTTGGATTTTTTTAAATGTCTTTTGTGCTCAAATATTTATTTTTCAACATAAGATACATTTATGACAGCTGTCTTAATGTTCTTTTTACTACCACAATCAACTGTGCGATTTCTGATTCTGCTTGCAGTGAATGATTATATCCTCACTGTGGATCCTATTTCCTGCTTCTTTGTATGCCTGGCAATTTTTAATTGGATGCCAGACACTGTGAACCTTATCGTGATTGCTGGACATTTTTGTATTCCTATAATATTCTTGAGCACTGTACTGTGATTCATTTGAATTATTTGACCCTTCTGATGCTTTTTATAAAGCTTTGTAAAGCAAAATAAAAGCAGCCTCTTTTTTTTTTTTTTTTTGTCTAAGGTTGACTTTGCCCAGTACTCAGGCAATATCCTTCTGAATATTCTATCCAGTGTTCCATTAATTAGAAGATTTTCCACTCTGAATGGTGGAAACATGAACTATTCCTGGTCCTGCATGAATTCCCGGGATCCTTCCTCTGTGCCTTTGGAATGTTTCTTCCCTGGCCTTGGGTAAGTTAGTCATGTGCTAGTCAGTACTCAGTTGAAGATTTAAGGGGGCCCTTTGCTGGCCTCCCAATCTTTATCTGTATGCAGCTCTTTTCTCCCCAGTACTCTGTGAACTCTGGCTTCCTTGGCCTCCTCAAATTCCCAGCTTCACCACCTCATCTCATTGAGACCTCTAGCTTCTGCCAATGTCTCCCTTCCCTGTGCTCTGAAAACTCTCTCCAAGCTGAGGAAATTGCAGGGCTCACATCATTTTTTCCCATCTCCAGTGGATCACTTTTCCATGTTACCTGAAGTGTGATGTCTGAAACTATTGTTTCATATGTTTCTCTGGGATTTTAGCTGTTTCGTGCAAGGAAGGTTAATCTAGTCCTGGTTATTGTATTTTTGACTGGAATCACTTGTTGCTATTTTTGATAAGGGAAACATACATATTCCAAGAGAAAGACTGCGTATAAAGTAGAAATTGAATGTTCAGGAGAGAGAAAAGAAAATTAACGGATTAATTTCCTAAGGAAAATACAAAGGGGAAATGATAAAAAGCTGAGATGGGGCTCAACTTTGCCCAGAGGAAGAAACACTTCTTATGAAACGTGAAGTAGCATAGTAACAACAATGAAGCATTGAAGTTTAGATGCAGTGAGTATTCACTTGGTCAGCTGATTTTGCTTGAGTTCCTATTATACAATGTGAATAAAATTCAGCTGTTTCCTCCAATGAGGAAGAGGGTAGATGGAGAAGGGGGGAAAGTGAGGTGTGATTCCCAGCACAGTTCCTCCCCACTCCACTGCCAAAAAAAATAAAAATCTTCTTTCCAAATCCTCTAACTCATGAGCTTTTCATATTCTTGTTAGAAGTAAGGGGTTTATAGATTGTCTAAGGAGCTTGCAGTCAGCCCACTTTAAAACTTCTGGTGATCTGATTCACAGCTGACATGGGTATCTGATATCTACCATCTCCTGGTGCCTCCACTGAACTTTTCAATTTAATATCCTGTTTTAACGCTAGCAAGGAATAGGAGACAAGTAAAAATCCAATTTCAGTTCAGTGAGATACGTTCTCTATGTGGATTAAGCACAGCAGGTTACAGAAACACACTGGGTGAGAAAGGGGTTCATACATAATCTTAAATGGGCAGAGAAAGGCTGCCAGAAAGATATGTCCCTTTGACCCAAAAGATACAGGAAATAGGTTTTGGATATGGGAGGGGTAAAAAGAAAAGGATGTTTCACCAAAGAGAGGAGAATGTGTAAAGGTTAGAGGCAGGAGATATTGAAGCTATAAGTAGATCAATAAGGCTGGCGAGGTGCGAGGGCTCATCAGAAGCCACGTGCCAGAAATACCTTGAATGCATTCCAGGGCACCTGTAATTGATCCTGAGGAAAGCAAGGAATTGGAGGCGTTTTAAGTAGAGGAGTGATTAATCAATTTTCTGTTTAGAGATCATTCTGATAGCAGTGCAGAGAATGTAAGAGAGGGAAATTCACTGTCAGAAGCGTATTCCTTGTGAGAAGAGCATTGTGAGAGGGATAGTGAGAGTCAGAACGGTGGGAATGGAAAGTGGATATAATCTAGAAAATAAAATGGTAGCACTGTCAGAACCTGATAACTGACTAAATACGTGTTATAAGGAGGTGCCTAGGGAAACACCCAGGTGTTTGTCTTGGATAACTAGATTGATGGCAGTGTTTTCAATGAAACAAGTATTACTGGTTAGATATCCTAAAACATCTTGTAAACTAAAAGAAACTATGGAAGGGTGGAACAGCCCAAATTTGTTTTCGTTTGGTGAACATAATGTCTACTTGTGACAGGCACAAAGACAAGTAAAACAAAAGAATCTGTGGAATAAGAACGGGGAGAAATGTTGCCAGGCCTGGGGGTGAGGGTGAGGTAAGAGGAAAGTGACAGCTGGGAATCCCCAAGGCCCAGCCAAGGTTAGACAACATGAATTAGTAGTGAAACCAAGAGTCTTCATTATTACCTTCTTTCAGCAACCCTTAGCAGTGTGATGAATGGTTCACAGAGGCCAGATGTAGATTGTGGGTTGAACTCAAGCTGAAGAATATGGAGGGTGAGAGTAAGTTAGAGTCAAGTACAAGAAGGGAAGCAATGTGGAACCAATACGAGCATCACTAAAATGCTTTCCCATAATCACAGGCTGGATATGGAAGCTAGAAAAGCTAGAAGGGGGCCCAATAAGAGAATATGAGGGATGGAAAGGCTGGAGGCTGAGGAACTGGGGATGAAAGCGAGAGACCAGTAGGAGACAGTCATCAGAATGTCAGCATCCAAGAGAATGACAGAAGCAAAATTCCCAATCATAAGGTGAGAATTTATTGAAGCAAGTAGTTGTGAGTCAAGATCATTGAAAGTATTATAATATGAATGTTGAAATTCCATAAAAATGTAGTTCAAAGGAAGTCTATAAGCTGGGTTAAAGTTATGCTGGAAATTAGAAACCACAGAAACAGGAAAAGGACAGGTGAAACTGCCAAGAGCTCATAGTTAGCGTCCTGCAGGAAGAGATGAAGGGGTGGGGTGGAGTGGAGTGGAGCTAAATGGGTTTTCTTCCTTTGATTTGAGAGGTGTTGCCTTCACTAAAAGGAAACTGGTATTATCAAGAACAAACAGGTATTGGTAGTGATGATAAGAGGAAAAAAAGTTCTAGAAAAGGGCTCTTTTTCACGCAGATAATATGTTACAATAACAGAGCGCTCATTAACAACCTTTTTCATGCCACTGGTCACTGTGAAAGCAGGAAGTGGAAGTAAAGCAAGGATGGCTGAGGATACGCAGTACAGCAATGAAGGTGGTGTACTTACTGCACCAATGACGGTGCAGTAAGAAACATAGTGAAAGTGTTCTTCTAGGTGGCAATGTTAAAATAAGGTCACTTGAGGCTCTTCTGAATCATTAGCCTTTCTAGAAACTCCAAGGACATATTAAGTTCATTCACTAAAACATTTTGGACATATTGTAGTTGCAGATCATCTCCATGTTTACTTCTTTGAAGTCTTTTCTTTGAACATTTTTAAGCACTTACTGAGGATTCTCAGGCAGACAATAAAACAGAAAGATCATCCCCTGCCAATCAGAGTTTGAACACAGAAAGGGCTCATTGATCAAACGAATCAATGCAGAAAACTTAAAATTTCCTATTAAATAAACACCACACATTAAATACCAGAACGTGGTGACTAACAGGTAGAGAGAGGAGGGATATACAAAAGGTTTCACCCACACCCTGTTTTGTGGTTTTTACCCAGATGCCACCACCACACCTATGAGTTTCACCTATTAAAATAATAGAGAAGTAGAGTAACTAGAATCTGCTGACCAGAGTATAGTGCTAAATACAGTTCCTGAAAGACTAAACCTGACAGGCAAGGTCAGGATTCAACTTGGAGAATGTCTGATGACATTAGCTAATGTTTTTTTTCCAACCTGGTCTACCTGTGTGTGCCGATGCGTGTAGATGTGCTCATGTTAAGTAGATCTTTGAGAAAATTAAGCTTATCTCCTCTACTGCACTTACAAAATGTTAACGTTAAAACCAAAGATAAAATGGAGATAAATGTGATAAACTAGAGTAGGGAATTCGAACCATACATAAAATCCTTAAAAAAAAAAATTCCTTAAGCATTTAAAAGGCAATAAGCAAGTTATTTTATACCAGTGAAATAATTAAAAGTTTTATGTAAAAAAAATAACCCATGGAATATCGTGTGTCCACTGGGCAGTTACACATGCGTGTGTAAGGAAAAGAACTGTCATCACATCAGCTAGCATTTAAGGAGCTTACTGAGCGCTAAACTCTTTTCATGTTATCTGCTCTAATCGGAGCAACTATGCCAGCGGATTCACATCCCCGTTTCACGGACGAGGACACTGCAGGTGCACAAAGCAACCACTGACCTGCAGGGACCCCGCGCCAGCAGCTGCTGTAGCTGACTCATCCGACTCCCACGCGTGACGCTGCCCGAGTGGCGTTTAAAAAGATCCCACTCGAGTCCCATTTAAAATATATGCACCCCGCTTTTTACGTGTGATTGGTGACCTCGATTTTACCTTCTGAGTCACAGCCCCAAGACCTGCGTATCTGTCAAATTGAGCGCAGTGGGCGAGGGGGCGCTGTGAGAGTTGGGGAACTGACAGGTGGAGAGCACAGGTGCAGACTAAAGGGAGGGCTCGAAGGTAAAAATAGCGATCAGGGGTGGGGGGCCGCGCGTGGAAACGCCGGGGCAGCGCTGGCGCTGGCCCGCGGAGCAAGAGGCGAGGACCGCGGGGCTGGGAGGACCGCACCTGGCGGCGGCCGCACCTGTGCACGTGACCACGAGCCGCTCGAGCGCCCGGGCGGAGCCGCGCTCACCTGGGCCCACGTGACGGGGCGGGGCCCGAGGACCCCACTGCCACGCCTCCTCCCGTGCGGCACGCCTGGACCCCGCGGAGCCGAGCGGCGGCGGCGGCGGCGGCGGCGGCGGCGGCGGGAGCCCGGGAGGCGGAGGCTGGCGCGGGCGGCGGCGGCGGCGAGCGGAGACGCAGCAGCGGCAGCGGCAGCATGTCGGCCGGCGGAGCGTCAGTACCGCCGCCCCCGAACCCCGCCGTGTCCTTCCCGGCGCCCCGGGTCACCCTGCCCGCCGGGCCCGACATCCTGCGGACCTACTCGGGCGCCTTCGTCTGCCTGGAGATTGTAAGTGGGGCCGCCGGGGCGAGGGTCGCGCGGGAAGCGAGGACAGGCGCCGGCATCCTTGTCCCCCGGGCTGTCTTCCTCTCCGCCCGCCCCGGCTTCTTCCCTTCGACGTGGCCTTTTCCTGCGCCCCCTCCCGGGGTCTTCGTGCCCCGCGCCGCCGCCCGGGCCCTCTCGCCTGGCACCTGTTAACGCGGGCACCTGCTCCCCCGCGGGCGACGGAAATGGCCTGGGGAGAGCGAGCAGGCGGCCCAGCAGGGCTGAGCACTTGGGGACGTGGAAAGGAGAAAGGCGTTGGGGCTCGGAGGCGCCTTTAGAAACCCAGGGCACGGCCAGGGGCCGGGCTTGGCCAGAGTAAGCTCCTGGCTTTCGGCCTGGCCTGTTGCTAACCTGCCATTTTGTTGGGTGGTGCAAAGGTGTAGCCTGTGCCTGGGTGACCTGGAGGCTGCCACGCCGTGGGAAGTGGGGGCGGAGGCAACAGGAAGAGGAGGAGGGCTGAGCACTTGAGTATACTTTTTCCCCCACTCACCTTTGCCATCATTAGTGCCCTTTGGATTGGAAAGAGGAGTTGGGCAGGAGGCAGGGCAAAGAGAAAGGTGAGATATGTGCCATGCCCTTGGCTGTTTCGAATCCAGTGGGCGCAAGAATGGTGGGGGAAAGGTGGAAACGTGGCTGTCGCGTTCTCTGCCTGTCTTTGTACCAACTCACTCACTTGTCCTCTACGCAACTCCAAACCTTTTCAGCACACTTCGTTGGGCCCAAGTAAAGGTGGGGTCACCTGCCTGTCGTGTAACCTTTTTAGGTGGCACTTGATCTTTTTAAATGGAATTTCATGGAGTTGGAAACTTTTGAAGCTCCTTGTGGACAAGGAGAAAATGTGCAAATATAAATTGGGCAACCTGAGGTTGCATCATGTCCTGAGAATGGCAAATAGAGAAATGTTAGCGAGTTAGTGCCTTTCTGGCAGGCTGGTGGTGTTTGCTGGGGTTAGGATTTTCATCTCTCCCCTCACCCTAGCCTTTTGAGTTTGCATAACCTGGATTTGGGTCGCTTTGGTTTCGTTTTTCTGCTTGTGGAGCTGGAACACCTTATGAGCACTGTTCTATTACGCTAAGGCAGCCAAACCACCCTAAGTTAAGTTTAGCCCAGATTTGAATCTGAAAGAGGACATGTGAGTGAGTTGCAGGCGATGACATAAGTAATGGGATCCTGACTGCGAGGCTGGTTTGAGTTTGAGCCTGGTTCAGAAGCATCTGAAGTGCTTGGGATGAGGTGCAAGCATCCATGTGGGAAGAGCGGAGAGAGGATGGCATTGGGCTGGCTGCCTTGCTGTGGGAGGGAGACACGTTTAGAACAGGAAGATCTGCAAGGAACGATTTCTTAGGTTCTCGGCTACTTTATTCCGTGTTCCGCAAGCTTTGCCTACCTCTTTGAGAGGCAAAAGTTTTTTTGCCTACCTCTTGGAGTTTTTGCCATATCTGCATTCTACCTGTCCTAGAATTTACAGACAGTTCATTGAAATACTTTCTATGCCTCATTACTTTAGCCTCTTCTTAAGCAATAATATACATGAAATTTCAAATTTGATGTTCTGGTTACATTTTTCTGTTTATTCAAATGTATATGTGAAGATACATATATGTAAATATATACATATGTATATGCAAAGAAGGCTTATCCATATGCCGTCTAATCAAATACCCTCTCAAGAACCTGTAGTCATGTCAGACTTTTAGAAAACAAGGCCTAATTCTGAGGAAAAAGAGTAGAAAGTGACTTACTCAATTTTCCCCTCCCCCTACCCCGTTATACCTTTTTAAAATCTAGCTCAGTGGTTAGCTCTCAGTTCTTGCTGTACTTAATAACTTGGACAGCTTTTTAAAGTACCGTTGCCAGCCCAGACTAATTAAATAAGAATCTCTGGGGGAGTGCCAGAGTTCACTAGCTATTTTTTAAAGCTTCCCTGGAGATTCTGACATTCAGATTGTAATATACAACAGGGAAGCACCGTAGAGAAGACAGCTCTGCTCTCACAGATGTGAATTCTCTCTACTGCTAAAACTTCCACCACTCCCCATCCTAGGAGGGATCCCAGACTCACAGCAGTGTCCAGTCTATTCCTTTTGAAACGTGCCTCACACTCCTGGCCAGGTAGAACATCATCACTTTCAAAAGCTTATCAGTTTGCTTTTCTCTTTTTATGGCCAACTCAATAAGTTTACATTTTAGGCCCCCTTTACCTCCTTTATTTGAATATCAATCTCCCCCACCCCATTGAAAAATGACCAAAATGTTCCAATGAAACTGGTGACCTTAGAGAAAAAGGAGACCACACTAGAGTCAAACTACAGCTCCTTGGCTCTCATCCTTTAGGACTGTTGAGAGAAATGGGTTTACATGCTTTAAGAGATCAGAGCTCAAAGCTGCCTTATTTCTCCTATATTTAGAATACCCATCTTGAGTGGATGTGCCGATAGGAGCTAAGCGAACACTTTCGAAACATCTTAGCTCCTAGATGCCTCAATTTCCCTCTGATTCTTTTAAAATTTTCCATCTCCTATGCTCCTCCTCAAAAATTCCTCAACCTGTAAATTAAATGTGAGTATTTCCCAGGCACAGTCCTAAATGCTAAGTGATCTCTATGACAGGGACCCATTATTTTACCTGTGCCAGCGTTTCTGGATGTCCTCAAACTCCATTTTAATTTTGACCTTCTATCCAAATTCATTTGTCTTTAAGAGTTCTTCATTTCTGTCCCATTGCCTTCTGAAACTTAACATGTGAAAATTGTACCTGACAAGGGACGACTGGGCTCTCAGTAGTTGACTATGCTACTGACACCACGTTCTTGGAGTTTGGTTCTCACACTAACGATTTAACTTGGCTGAAAGAATTCATTCCCAATCCCCCTTAATGTACTATATTCACAGTCTCTCAGATGTAAGTCATTTGTTGGGGAGATACTACAAAATATATAAATAGTGCCAGTCTCCCAGCACCAGATAAAGCATTATAGCACTGGCTTCTTAGGTGGAGAATATTACAACCTCACATGCATAGTGATTTTTTTTTTAAGATCGGTGTGTTTCACTCCTGGATACCTAATTGTCAGCCCCTTGGTTTTGGCCCTAGCAATATTCACCAATGCATACTTGCTACAGAATTTAATACTAAGTTAGTATTGCAAAGCTAAGCTTTTTAGTTTAGGATGGAAGACATTACCTTCAAAATTCTCATTTTCAAAATCTCACAGTTTTCTGAGTGAATATTTTCTAAAAATCACTCATCGGGCATTTACTGAATACCTACCATGTGCAAGGCACTCCTCTGAGAACAAAGATGTTTAAACCCTTCCTCACCAGAAAGACCTATAACCTAGTTGAGACTATATGCACAAAAGTAACTGCCATTCAGGGAAGAAATAATTAAGTATGGGAAGTAAACTGCAGGTAAAACATTCTCCAGGTGGGTCTGTCTACTTTAAAAAAATGACACTGGAGCATCTGCACTATTGGGCTGAACAAGATATTTAGGGCCCCTTTCCTCAATTGGCTTATCTTGTAAAATCCACAAGAAAAAATGAATTTTAATAGTATTAATTGCAAAAAAGAACACAGATCATCATTGAATTTGCTGTGTTTTATTTTACAATTTCAGTGTTTAAGAAACTACTTATATTTGCCAAGTTATTTATTCACATTTATCTTTGTGAGAGATACTGTAGGACCCTAATTCACATGCTTCCAACTGCAGTGTTTTGGGTGGCAGGATAATTTTCATTTACTCAGCATATAATTAAAAACATACTATGCATCAAGCCTTCTTTTATGCCCTGAAAATAGAGCAACTAATGTAGCTCCTGCCCCTAAAATAAATTACTGTTTGGTGGAATATAAAGTCATGAAAAAATTACAGTGCTGCGTATGAAGTGCTAATATAGGTTTATAAGAAGTGTTGTGGAAAAGCAGGGTAGAGTACATCTGACTTCTGGAGAGGCCAGAACAAGCAGCTTTAATAAGTGGGGACATTTGAGGTTAGCCTTCAATGATGAGCCATAGTTTATTAGAAAATGGGAAAGAGAATTCCAGGTAGAAAAAAGGACATGTGCAAACATGGAGACAAGAAGGACAATGACAAGAACGTTCTGTCAGTTGTGAGATTTTGGTGGGCAGATCAGGTTCTGGTTTGCTGAGAAGTGCTAGGCCAAGGCATTGGATTTATTATCTGTGATGGGCAGCTGCTGAAGGACAAGGATAAACTTGATTCCACTTGTGTCTTAGAAACCTTTGAGTGATAAAGTTTGGTTGTAAAAGAAAGAGATTGAGGGCAGGGGGAGCAGTTAGGGGGCCTATTGCAATTGTTTAGATAAGGGATGAAAAGAACCTGAAATAGGACCAAGGAAAGAAGGATAGAGAAGAAGACAGAGAGGTTTGAGGTTTCAGAAGTCAACTAAGCATGTAAAGTTTGACTTGCCCCAAAATGATGCCTAGATTAAACTTAAATATAAGATGTAACTCAGAGGAATTATGCCGGAAAAATAAATGTTAATAAAAGGATGATTGTGAGGAAGGGGCTGTGGGAGAGGCAGGTGCAGTCATGCAGATAAATCTATGGAAGGGACTTCAAGTTATTTTCAACTGAAAGCTTTGACTTTAGACTAGATAACATGTATATATTCTGATGTATAGAGTTTTCTTTTATTGCCCGGAAAATAAATTTTGACTGTGAAGGGACACTGTTTATTTGCAGTGTACAAGAGAGCTATCCATAGACATAGTTGTCTCCTAAATGGGTTTTAAAATTTTAAGTATTTTTTTTTTCTTTTGCCTCTGGATTAAAAATTTTCATCCACATTAAAATAACCTTTAGGCCAGGCACAGTGGTTCACACCTGTAATCACAGCACTTTGGGAGGCCAAGCCAGGTGGATCACCTGATGTCAGTAGTTCGAGACCAGCCTGACCAACATGGTGATACTCCCATCTCTACTAAAAATGCAAAATT